TTAGTAATACCTTTAGTAAAATACATACTATGAATAGTTAATTATTGGAATGTTTTAATTCAAACAAATAGTGAATATACTGTATGAATCAATGTCAACATTAGCCACTATACTTTATACTTATAATGTACAATACATGTATTACTTGTATTACTAATAATCTTGGTGCAACTGATTGAATTATAATATTACTCATAAAATACAAATTCATTGAATGAAATAGCAATTAAAATACAAGAATTTTGCTTTATATACAAATCACATAGAGAATAATTATATAATGAAAAATTTATATAAAATCAGCCGGGTTGTATTGGCACGGCTCACCCTACCAAACTTATTAGTTATATAATTAAGATTAATTCTATACAAGTTTTATTTTGTTTTGCGAAATCAAAGAAACGTATTACCTTTTCAATATATTTAATCAATACAATAAGTTTAAAGTAAATATTTAAAAACAACATTTATAATTAAAAGCATGTTAATTTTATAAATTATAATTGTTATACATAAATAGTATACATTTAAATTTTACAAATTTTATTTTCAGAATATTTTAAACCCATTTGCATGATGTGATTAACATTTAAAATATATAATCTTATGAAAGGGTATATTATGAATTATGGATATTGGTTCAAATTTTGTTTGCGACAATCCAACGCAAATGAATAAGCCAGCACAGTAAAAGCCAAATCAAATATAAATGATGCAATGGATTTTGGATTCACAAAACTGGAAGCCAGTGAACCTAATGTGGCCAAGGTCCATAGTACTGCATGGGTCATGTTCAGACAAAAATGCTCCTTGTAGATTCCGTATATGAATATTAATTGAATTGGCAATATTATTATGCCAAATACTATGGCTATTACAACAATTCCCTGTAATGATTTTTTAAAAATTTATTAATAAAAATGTATTACAAATTACTTCTAAAAAATTATTTAAATTAATGCAACTAAACAACTCAATATATAAGTAAATAATTTTAGCAAAAATTACCCAAATCGGTAATGTTGATGCCATATTAGATGGTACACAATTAGACCCTAGATATGTGCCAGTAGCAGGATCGTACACACAATTGGGTCTTGATTGTGTTCCCGATGAAGTTTCTTGGTTACTTTTGGCAATGACTGCCATTATAATTACTGTAACTATTATTACTAAGACCGTTAGTACCAAAGAAATGATACTCATAGCAAATAAAGTCCACTTTTTGCATTCAAAATAGCTACTACGTTCTTGTATAGTACGGTAGTTTGCCATGTTGATATCTCCAAGTAATAATTATGATACTTATAATTTTAACAAATAAAAATTTTTACATAATTTTATATTTACGACAGAGTATAGCTAACAAATAATAGTATGTAAACTTGATAAAAAATGTGATATTACTATTATAAAATAAAATTGAATACAAAACTATTGACGAACTTAAGAATATTACTGAACGCTTGTATCCATACTAATGTTTAACTCAATTTGTATGCATACATCTACACTATTGCCAGTGAGAAGGGAAACCAAAATGGCGCCAAAAATGAGAGAGAGATAAGAGAGCAGACATACAGTACAACACATTTTGGTAATACATAATAGTTTATTAGCATAATTTGTGATAGTTATTAGTATTTAATATTTTGCATAAATTTGCATATCTTACTTAATTGTGCACTGAATTAACTTAATTGTGCACTGGATTTACGTAAATTTGCACTGAATTTGGTTAATTATGCACTGAGTTAACTTAATTATGCACCGGATTTATTTAATTGTTACAATAAAATTTAATAAATAGCTAACTGAATTATACAGTACAACACATTTTGGTAATACATAATAGTTTATTAGCATAATTTGTGATAGTTATTAGTATTTAATATTTTGCATAAATTTGCATATCTTACTTAATTGTGCACTGAATTAACTTAATTGTGCACTGGATTTACTTAATTGTGCACTGGATTTACGTAAATTTGCACTGAATTTGGTTAATTATGCACTGAGTTAACTTAATTATGCACCGGATTTATTTAATTGTTACAATAAAATTTAATAAATAGCTAACTGAATTAACTTGTGTGTGAAGTTAATTGATTGTGAAGTAAATTATAATCAAAAATTAAATTAGCGTTATATATTTTAATTTTGTAACAATAAAGTAAATCCAGTCACAATTAAGTTAATTCAGTGCACAATTAAGTAAGATATGCAAATTTATGCAAAATATTAAATACTAATAACTATCACAAATTATGCTAATAAACTATTATGTATTACCAAAATGTGTTGTACTGTAAGTCTGCTCTCTTATCTCTCTCTCATTTTTGGCGCCATTTTGGTTTCCCTTCTCGCTGGCAATAGTGTAAAACTATCACAAATTATGCTAATAAACTATTATGTATTACCAAAATGTGTTGTACTGTAATCTGCTCTCTTATCTCTCTCTCATTTTTGGCGCCATTTTTGTTTCCCTTCTCGCTGGCAATAGTGTACTAAATAAATAAATCTGTAATATTATTATTGTAATAGTGTAATATAATAAATGTTTATGATAAAAATATTCATCAATATTGTACAAGTACGTTTAAATAAATAAAAATGTATTATTTAGATAATTTTTATTACTCTGTTTTTCTAAAGAATTGTACTTGTAGATTCTGTATTACTGCTGTTAAATAAAAATGAAAATATAATAAGTATAAACTCTGTTTTATCAACGATAGATAATATTAAGGTAGGTTTACTTTCTGTTGATTATTGCACATATTTATTAGCACATAAAATACAAGTATAATAACAAGCACAAATATTTATATATGTTACAACAAACAAGGAACTAAGTCAATTATTTTTCGTAAACATACAACACTTATATAAGCTACCACAAAAAGTCGCATTATACAATATTAATTTACTAATTTGAGCAATTAGTTAAAATAATAATTAAAAATGAACCGTGCTATTTTAACAATTCTATTGGTGAATGCATTTTTGGTGGTGTCATAGGCCTGGCTGTTGCTGAACCGGAATGTTTTTGGACAGGGTGCGTTGAATTCAACCGGGCTACCTATCCCGATGGCTATCATGTAATGAGCAAGGAGAAATGTGGCGAATTGTGGCAAAGGCTGTCAAATCACCAGAAAAAATATTGCTGCAAATAAATGTTTTATTAATGTAATAAGCAGGCTAATATTATGATTTAAATATTACCTTTTATTATTTTTATAACTGTATTGAAAAATGATTGCAGTAAATAAAATTAAACTAAAAATTGAGTATTGATTTCATTATTGTAATAATTGGTTGAAAAAACTTTTATATTATTGAACTCATTGTAATCACTCTTTTTAAGAATATTTGATTCTTTCGAGAAAATTGTGTTTAAAAATCATTTCATTTGAAAATAACACAAAATTGTTTAAGTGAAAGGTATCTGGTTTAATAAAATAAGTATTTGTAATTTTAAAAATTAATTTTTATAAATTGAATACATACTTGAAAGTAAATAACAAAAGAATATTTTAACTATAATTTTACTTTGCATCTGGTACCGGATTAGTTATGATAAACTAAATGTTTATGTTATAAAGTAAATTCATTATTTAATTACTGATTAAAAATATATTGTTTATATTTGAAATTCATACATAACGCATGAATATTTTTGTTATTAAATTAATTACTTTTAATTATACTAATATGTTTATTTATTTTATTTTATGTTATGTTGTATTTTAATTCATCATTTAATTTAAATGCTATTTAGTGATTGAATTAATTGGTTGTGGTTTGTTGTGAATGGCCTGGTAGCTAATTAAACAACTGGAGTTATAGGATTAGGATATTAAAAATCTAAATGAATGTAAATTAAACACATGTTTGATTGTGTTGAATCTACAAGTATACCAGGGCATGTTTACAATGGATTCAGGTGATATTATTTATATATCAGTATAATTTATTATGATGTGGAACTTACACAGAAATTCCACGTTACGGCATATTGTACTTGTTTGTACTCTATGCACACAAAACTGTAAAAATTAATTATCTTATTTATAAAACATAGTTTAGGACGATTCAGTGAATGTGAACAAGTACACCTAATTTTTCATTAAGTGATTAGAAAAATTGCATGTGCAAGTTAAAGAGTATCTATTGGTTATCAATATAATTGGATTATGCACATGCTAGAAATATTGTTAAAAAAATAGTAAACAGCTATTATCTACTGATATTATTGATAGCCTTTGAATAAAGTGTTTAATTACTCCTTAAGTGAATTCAATGCCAAATACTTTCTCAAACATATATAAAGGAAATTTTATATCACATAATTGATTCTAGCTCACTTTAACATTAAAATTCTTAACCAGAACATAAGTCACAATGAAATACTTTTCATTTATTTTGTTCAATATTATATTTATTGGCATAACATTAGGTTTGAAAGAATGTTAACATTTGAAATCATTAGTTAATTACTAATTTGCAAATTATCTTATAGTGGAAAGCCGTCGCGAGTGCATAGCCCGTAAAGGGCACGACAGCCCGTACTGTGTCTGTAATACCACTTATTGCGATGATTTGGATCCCATTGTGAAACAACCGAAGGGAACGGTACTTGTGTTTGAGACCAACAAAAAGGGCGATCGACTGAAACAAACTGTAGTGAAAGTCTCGACACAATATACAGAGACAGCGGACGAGAGTATTGTTTTGACAATCGATAAGAACACTAAATACCAGAAAATCATTGGTTTTGGCGGCGCTTTCACTGACGCGAGTGGTCTTAATCTGAAGAGTTTGCCACAAGAATTGGCCACAAATGTGATCAAGGACTATTTCTCATCCAATGGTATTGAGTATAGTATGGGTCGGGTGCCAATAGCCGGGTGCGACTTCTCTCCGCGCGCCTATACATACAACGACCAAAATGATGACTTCGAGCTCAAGACATTCGCCCTCCAGAAGGAGGACGAAGACTACAAAGTACTTGCACACAACTATTTCTTTTATTTTCTATTATTTTTGCAATATTTTAAGTATACAATCATTATATTCAGATCCCATACATAAAAATGGCCCGAAATATGAGTTCCCATGCGTTAACTCTGTTTGCGAGTCCCTGGGCTTCGCCGGCGTGGATGAAGACTAACGGACATCTAAATGAAGGCGGATTACTGATCGGTAATCCGGGTACAAAATATTACAAAACATGGGCNTCGTGAAAATGGATTTGGGGCCGGCGCTCAAAAAAGGTTTGATAACCTATACTATAGGTCCCATAGATACACTTTAACTTGAACATGCAATTTTTCTAATTACTTTGAATGGAAAAGCTGGTTATGGTCAGGACAAACTCAATCTTATGGTATATGACGACTATGGGGACAAAATAGTCAATTGGGCCGACGTTTGCTTTAACGACAAGGAAACGGCTCAATATATCAATGGTTTGACCATGCGTATTCAATTTAATTAGATTTATATAATTTTTATTTAATTAATTTAAAGGAATTGCTTATCACTGCTACGGGAATGGAGCAAATTGGGGCGATGTATTGGAAAAAGTTCATCAGCGACACCCTGATCAGTTTGTCATATCGAGTGAATGTTGCCAAGAATTTAAAATCCTAAAAGCGGGAACTCCCGTGAGATTAGGAGTTTGGGATAACTCAGAGTCCTATACCAGAGATATTATGATTGTTAGTACAGTATTAAGAATCTCATTGTTTATCACATTTTTAACACTTTCTACTCTTATATCAGAATTTAGAGCACTGGACGAGGGGTTGGGTGGAGTGGAATTTGGTGCTCGATATGTACGGACAGCCTAATTGGGCTCACTTTTCATCGGAGGCACCAATTCTGGTGAACTCAACCGGCAAAGAGTACTATAAAGACCCGAAATTCTATATTTTGGGCCATTTCTCCAAATTCTTAGCACCAGATTCCGTGAGAGTGTCCGTAAAAGCCGACAAAACAGTGAATGGCTTCGATTCGGTTGCGTTCGTCAGACCCGATAACGCGATGGTTGTTATCGTATATAATCAAAGGGATAGTCCGACAGATTTCATAATTAAAGACCAAACTGTGGGACAAATTAAAACCAAAATAGAGTCCCGTTCTGTACAGACTTATATTTATTGGAATTAAATAAGATTAGAAATAATTTTAATTATCAAAATCAGAAGATGTTATCTCTGATAATGAATGAATGAATATCATAATCAGTTATATATAATATACATTTTATAAAAATAAACATAAATTGTAAGTTGTAAAAGCAACAAAACAAGTTTTCAAAGTTATTTTGAGTCACATCTTATTAAAACATAAGAACACAGAATAATCTGTACTTTAAAACAATTGAAATTATAAATAAAAACCATTAACATATGACATACAATTTATTAATAAGGACACAATAAAAATTCATTGAGTACTTAGTAATTGAGAAAAATGTGGCGAATTGTGGAAAAGGCTGTCAAATCATCAGGAAAAATATTTCTGCAAATAAATGCTTTATTAATGTAATAAACAGTTTAATATAATGATTTAAATATTATTGCTATACCGTTTATTGTTATAGTAATACTTGTATTTCAAAATTATTTCAGTAAATAAAATTAAACTAAAAACAGTCAAGAATATTTTTTTATTTGATAATATGTGTGATTTAATAATAAAATCAATATATTTTATAAAACAGCCATGTGAAATTTTTATAATAGATAATAATATTATTTAGTTGAAATAGCGTACAATTTAATCTTATTTATAATGATAATAAAACATTATTAATATAATAGGTATACACACTACTACTAATAAACATATTTTAATTGTCCTAAATAATTATTCTGGGTGTAATATATATCATAAATATAACGGTAAAAGCACAATCATAATTCAAAGTGAATGTGTTTTTGCTCGCTGTTATAATTGAAAAAATATTGATATTTTAATATTAGTTATTTATTTAGATTTGTGATCATATTTTTTGTAATCATATTTACCACCACTGAAGTACAAATGCAAACAAGTTTTAGAAACTGGTAACTAAATTGCATATTAAAGTGTAGATGGCAATGTGTATGCATTATAGAGTACATATTGTAAGCATTATTACAGTTTGTGTTCAGTACATGCTTTTGAATTTGAAGTTTTGGAAAACTACTGCATAAAAAGGTCCTTCAAAATGATAAAAATAACTTCTGAATCAACATTTTTGTATTGTAACATTAAGTTTGCATTGTTTTTCAAATTAAATACAGTATCTATGACACTGATAAAAGTTTGTCAATTTTAGCTTTATTTAATAGCATAACATCTAATTATTCTTACAGTTTGAGGTACAAGGTACAATGATTATTGTTTAGGAACTAATGGTGACAACATTAGTTTTATGTATTTACAAGTTTGTAATTGTTTTAAATTTGTTTTTTAAATGTTTATTCTAAATTTTTCAACTTAAACAATATATTAAATAATTATTGATTTTAGTACACAAAATATAAATAAGAAATATTTTAACTATTCCATGTTAATCCCTATAGTATATTACGTAAACTACTGGAGCCGTATTGAAACGACTTTTATGCGGGTGTTTATAATTGAGTTAACATTATTTTACCATTATTAAATTGATAATTCAAATAAATTAATTTTATCTTGTTTATATTTACAGTTACAGTTTTATAAACTTTTGATTCAATTGTTAAATATAACAAACCTGTAGATGGCAAAATATGTAATTTTATTTGTAAAACACTTCAAATGATATCATCCTGATAGTTATAAAACCAACCACCATTACTTTTATTTATATTCATTTAATAATACAAAAACTACTTGGTTGTTTAATGAATAATAATATTTTAAATATTTTCTTAATAATTGGTTTTAGTATAATATAATATTAAATTTTATCCATAGTTAATAGTGTATTGTTTTATAAGGTTGTGTACAGCCTATTATAAGAATTTGTAATATTATACCTATCTCAAAGTTACTGCAGTATTAAATCGTATGAATACGTATAAATTTAAGTATCTATAGTTACATTGATTATTTTTTTATCATTTATATAGCTAGAATGCCTGGATACAATATTGATCGGTTTGTTGACATAACAGAATCGGAAAGGGATGTCATGCAATGTTGTATATGTCAGGACATACTCCGGGACCCAGTGGTGGCCCCCTGTTGTCGGCAAATGTTTTGCAAACAGTGTATCAGTGAATGGCTTAAAGCTAATGATACCTGTCCATATGATAGGAAAACCTTGTTAATCGCAAGTTTAACAGAACCACCTAAGTATACTCTACTAAAAAGTATATTTTATACTATTTTTACCATGATAATTTATTTGTTTAGAGTTCTCGAAAATATGTTAATGAACTTTAAAATTACGTGCGATTATAAGGATAACGGGTGTAATGAAGTGCTCAAATTAGACCAATTGAGCAAGCACATAATTAATTGTCAATATAAGATTTGTGAGAGATGTGACTGCGTTAAACAGCCTAACCACGACTGTGTGGATACCTTGCTTAATTTGAATAAAAAAGCTAACGAAGAGATTTGTGAATTAAAAGACAAATTGATAATTGCCACAAAACAACTTGATGATCGGTCACCAACACCATGCTCATCAAACAATTTTGCGCTAATTAATATGGTAATTAATTTTATTTTAGCTCCACTTAAAATTTAAAAAATATTAATTAATTTTAAAATCTAATGCTTATTTTAAAATCTAACAAATTGTCACTACATTACAAAGTTGTCTGAACTGTAGCTTATTTTTAGGAAATTGACCACTTATTACAGAAAAGCATACTTAACTTAGCCTAGCACTAGTAGGTCTAGTAGCGTAAGTAGGCCTTCTTTTTCTGATAGGCTCTCTTTACTGCATTGTAGGTTAGGTTAAGTAGGCTTTCCTGTAATGATAACGGAACAGATCAAGATTCATGAAATAGGGACCAATTCAGCAATTCCAATAAGCATAACATTTGATTTCAAATTTGATTTTAGTGTACTGAGACACAATTATTTGACTCAGCAAGGGAACACATAACAAGCATTGAAGTAATTCGAAATCGTAAATTTTACTACCATGAAACGGAAAGAATAAAAGACTGCACATTTACTGAGATCTTGGCAAATAGCTCGCTGCTCACGTTTTGTCGTCAATTGAGAAAGAAATTGCACGATGTGCAAGGTAATAATTGGCACGTGAGCGCCGGGCAACATAATGCATACTGTTCATTTTATGCGCCGGGCCCTGGTAAATATATGTGCCTTAAAATTGGATTAATGTCCATTTCTATCTATTCATATGACGATTAGAAATTTATATGTTTTTGCTACATTGATTGTGAATTTTAGTATTTTTAATGTTTAACATAATGGATTTATAATAACAAGAGAACAGTAAATTAACAAATGGTCTGGATTATATGAATTTACTTAAATACAGTCAATAATGTTTAACATGAAGTCGGTCTTGCCAAGGCATTTAGTTCATATTAAACATTAGTTCATGATTGATTGAAACATTGAACACATAGTAAATCAGTCTAAATTCAAATACAGTTTAATTAACTATAATAATTTATATTAAAAGACAATTCAAATTGTAATCATAGCTTTAATTAGTGTGACCATTGTAATTTTTATCTTGGACAAAATTTTATAAAATGATTGTTACAAATTAAAAACAGAATATATACGCATGCATATGATAGAGATATAATTGCTAAATACTTGAATGTTAAAAGAAAACTTCAAACTTTTCAAACTTTTGGTGCATTTTTAAACATGAACCAATACAACCTAGACAATGACAAGTGTCAGGAATGAATTTAATAGTATATTATTGTAATTGTTATATTTTTATTTATTGTGTTTGTATTTGAAACTAAAAATAAATTCAAGAAATTCAAAAGTTTATAAAATTACTAACTCAAAAATGATGTTAATATTGTATTAATAGTTTTCAGAATATTCTGAAGTTTGATATAATTAATACCGAAATTTGTACTGGTTATTCTTATTATAATCATAGTATTTTTGGAATTTAATATAAGCATGTTATTAGATTATTTGTATGCAGTAATAATATTTTTAATGATATTTATAATGATTATATTTACCGCATCTTAAGTCAAAGCAAATTCATGCAAGTTTTATAAACTATTAAATCTATTCTTAAACCTAAAACTATTAATTTAGTTTATTAAAAATATTTTTAAATATTATTTTAACGTATTCAAAAATTATTTTAAAGTTAAACTATTAATAACAAATGGTATAATGTGTTATAATAATAACTAGAGAAATTTACTTTATATTAAATAAATTATTACAATTTTATTATAGTACGGTATAAGAAATATTTGGTATATGCAAATTATTCTTGATCATGTTAAACAATTAGCTTAATAAATGGTTTTAACTTGTATAATAAAATTTATATTATAAAACAATAAACGAAAGCATAACGATCATTTTAATTATAATTTATAATAATAATGGATTTTATTTTAGATCTTGTTTTATTTTTTGAATTTAATACAATAATTTAAGCATATATAATGCAATATTTTATTTTCATTTATATTTATGGTGATCATGTTTGTTTATTAAGGATTTAAAAAGGTGCTTAATGTTAATAATTTAATTTATACTATTCAACATTTTTAACAAATATAATTATAAATTTTAAAGTAATTGTTATACCCATTTTTAATAGTTTATATAATTTATAATTTAAATCTCTAAGTTATTGTATTTGCAATTTATAATAAAATCTCACTAATGTCAATATTTATTTATTTGAGTCATTTGAAGTTGATTGTTATAGTAATATAATAGTCATATAAATAATTAGAATGGGATTTTCGTATAAATACCCATATCTATAACATTGATAAGGTATGCATGACAATTTTATCAAAAATATATTTTATCCCTTAAACAATAAGCTCATAGAAGAAACTATGTTTATTTTCAACCATTTTGTCTAAATATGCGAATTAAATAAATAACAGAATATTTATTTTCTTATGTATTTATTTTTAAAGTTATTTACATGTATTAATTATAAACTAATTAATCAATTATTATAAACTAGTTGTGAAATGTATTGTGTATGTTAAAATAAAATTGTTTATTTATTAATAATTTTATTGATTAATAATAAATGCCTGGTTATAATATTGAGAGGTTTGTGGATATTAGTGAAAAGGAAAGGGATGCCATGCAATGCAGTATATGTCAGGACATACTCCAGGACCCAGTGGTGGCCCCCTGTTGTCTACAAATGTTTTGTAAATTATGTATTAGAGAATGGCTTAAAACAAATAGTACCTGTCCATATGATAGAAAATCACTGGCAACCACTACGCTAACGCAACCACCAAAGTAATTATATCTTATTTACTTTATGCAATAATTTAATTAACATAAAAACAGTTTTGTTTTGTAAGTGAAAAGTTTGTATTATTGTACTGAATTACATTTTAATTTAAAATAAATAAAATGCAATATGAACAATACAAACATTAAACACAACAGAATGAAATAATGTTATTATTATGCTTAAATATAACATGATTATGTAAGCACTTAATTAATCTATTGTAATTATTATTTGCTCACTAGCTGACAATACATTAATTAATATTTATAATTTTTAGAGCCCTCGCTAATATGTTGCTGAGTTTGAAAATTACTTGCGATTTTAAGGACATTGGGTGTAATGAAGTTATTATCTTAGAACAATTGAGCAAGCACGTTGCTACGTGTATATATAACATATGTGATATTTGCAATTGTCAAAGACTCTTTGACCATAATTGCGTAAAATCATTGCTCAAGCTAAATCTAAAGGTTACACAAGAGAATATTGATTTAAAATGTAAATTGGAAGATAATGCTAAAATCATTAATGAGTTAAATTTTAAAAACGCATCAATTGAAAAGCAACAGGTACAGTTTAGGGGAAATTCAATAAGTACATACATTATAGTATTGTCTAATAATTAGCCCAATTTTTACATAGAATTTCAACAATTTGTACAAATGTTTTGCCTAGTCCCTCCCAATGCGCGTATGTACTTATTGATTGATTATTTATTAATATGTTAAACTTCATACGATTATTTTATTTACCTATTTATAATTAATAGATTACCGAGGCATCATTATTTGAATCAGCCCGGGAACACATAAACGATACACATACAATTGTTAGTAAAAATCTTGACACTGAAATTACCAAGTATATAATCGAAATGATTAAGGAAGAAATTTTGAATAAGAAAACGTTGGCTAAATTATGTCAAGCATTGCAATTGAAGTTGTCAAAAAAATTTGGTAAATATTGGCAAGCAATCGCCGGACATCAGGGTAAATTGTATTCATATTTTGTATATGAAAATGGTGACTACATTAGATTCAAATTTGGTTTGTTGGCTATACATTTATATGCAACACAATGCGTAAATATTATTTTAAATAAAATATATAAAATTGTAATAACACGTAAAAGCACTAATAATAATTAAATTTTTAAATATTATTAAGTTCAATTACAAATTGTTCATGGAAAGATATAAAAGTGGTGGTATTGCACGTGAGTTAGATGTAATCCAGGCAACAATTAATGAAGCTATGAAATTGGATGTGAAGGACTTTATTTTTAAGGCGATTGATAAATCCACAAATTTACCAAGCATTCTTAGCGAATTCAAATCACTCATGGAAAATAAATATCCAAAATATTACTGGCAAATTATAGGCCAATCAAACGATGGCGCTTTCAGTATAACTACATTAAATGAGTATATATATTTTAAAATTAGCAATATACAAGTTGTTTTATATGGTCAAGATAAATAATAATTCTTAAAAAGTAACAGCTGTAAATTGAAATAAACTTATTTTGCAACTTGTTAATTTATGTGTCAATATGTTATTTTAAAATTTTATAAATAATAAATTATCAATGATAACTAATCATTATTAGGCTATATTAAAATATAAATCTGAAATAAATTTTAAAAATAAATGACATGGGAAATAAGCTTTGGTTTTATACTTGGCAATATTATTATCATTTGCACACATTATATTTATTGAAATATTTAAGGGTTTTTAATATAATTATTAAATTCGCATATTTATTGGCAACTTTTATATTTTATTAATATTTATGGTATTTATATTTCCCGCCTTTCAAGTCAATGTAAAAGTATTCATATTTATTAATATTATAAAAACTATTGAATAAATTGTAAACAAAACTGTAGATGGCAATAATATTAAACGATTATGTTACTATGATAGTTTATGCTTACAATGCGTTCCTTGCAAGTGTTATTCAGATAATTAAATAAATTAAACTGGATTATACTGGTATGGTATGGTATAATAGGACTGCCCAGGTTCGGTAATCTAGCGGAATGTCCTTGGTATCCAAATCTGTGATTATATCGGTCGACGCGCTATAAATTTTTGCTATAAAAACCTATTAAACTACTCATTCTATACGAGTCAGAGTTTTAATACTATGAATGAGTTTATTTCACATCAAAAAGTATAGAGTTTTTATAGCGCGTCGACCGATATAATCACAGATTTGGACACCAAGGATATTCCGCCAGATTACCGAACCTGGGCAGTCCTATTATACCATACCATACGAGTATAATCCAGTTTAATTTATTTAATTACCTGAATAACACTTGCATTGTTAGATCACACATTTATGTTATGTAACGGAAACTTTGATTTATAAATAGAGATTTCTGGCAATGATACAAATAACAAGTTTTTGCATTGAAATTGAATGATTCAATAGCATACAAACAAACAATTAGCCATTTTTATGTGTACAAATAATTATATTTTATTATATAAAAAACTTTAATTTACATTGAATTAATATTTTTATAAATATATAATTCTTAAAGGTGAGTTAATTGTTTTGCAAAATTTTATTTTTTTCTGCATACAATTTATTAAAGTTATTATTATGAAAATGCTGTCCAAACATTTATGGACTTTAATTATATATTTTTAATAATAGTAAATATGCCTGGATACAATATCAAGAGGTTTGTCAACCTGAGCGAATCTGAAAGGGATGAAATGCAGTGCAGTATATGTCAG